AATTATTACCTTTTAATAATTATTAGACAATCACAAAACTTAAAAATCTAGAATTCTAAAAGCTTGAATATTGAAAAGATGGGTTTTAAGATATCTAAATTTTTATTTTGAATTTTAAAAATCCAAATTTCTAAAAATTTAAACTGAGTGGTTTAGAATCAAATAATTTTAATTTYACAATTTAACGAACGCWGAATTTTAAAATCTAGAATTCGAGAACCGATTGAAGAACCTCTAAACGTAGGAATTTAGAATTCTAGAAGCTTATTTTGAAATTTTAAGAACGTTAGTTTTATAAAAACAGAATCTTTATGTTCCAATTGAAAAAGCCAAAACTTAAGATTTTGAAATTTCAAGAAAATAAGTTTTAGAATTACAAAATTTTAATCTAAGAATTTAGAATTTTAGAATCAGAATCGATGAGAGATTTAGAATTAGACAATTTTAATATGTTTCATAACTAAAAAACAGGCAAAATTTAAAAAAGCTTGAAAAAAGTTTTAAAATTATAGAATTGTGATTTCAGAATTTGGGAATTCACAATTCTAGTAACTTCCAAATTTTGATTTCTAAAGTCTTGTTATTTCAATTTGATGTTATCAAAACTATTTATTTAAAAAAAATAATAGTGAATTTGATTTATTCTTAGAATATTAAATTTTTAAAGTGTGACAGTTATAGTTTTTAGATATGATTTCAGTTTCTTCTCAAAATATTGACGCATAAAAATCTTGTTCAAATGTTAAAAATTGGTAAAAAAAATTGAAAAAAATCCTCTTTTTCAGAACTAAAATTTCATGTAACTGGGTCACGAAAATTCTTCTTGCCTAACTTTTTTAATAAGTAAATTCCCGAAAACTCCCTAATTCCTGTACTTAATAATAATTTAGCAATTTCGGTCGCCCATTCGCCCCCATATCTGCAACCCTCGTAGGTGCTAAACCCTCCACACTTATCCTGTCCCAATAAATTATGTAGCGGTTAGTGGTTTGTATATTTCTCTGCAACGTTGAGTTTGTTCTAACACATAAGTGTCACGAGTAAATTATTACCCAGCGTTATAATCATAAACAAGTGGAAAACTCAAAAAACCCAAACGCAAAATCATGTATGCAACTCGGAATCTCTTCCAATGACACTTGCTCTTCGAATAAAGCCCTTTTGTCCCTTCATTGTTCACCAAACTATATCAAATAACTCGCCAAATAATTGGGCAGTGAAACCTCGTTATGCAAATTTAAGCCCTGATTAGTGTTGGAAGATAACCCAGAAGGGATCTAATGTGGCGAAAATTTATATTGTTAAGGGTCGTAAGTTGCGAATTTTGTACATTTTTGTTGATTTAGATTGTTTATGTTTGGTTTACAGGAATTAATGCGTGATTTGGTCTCCGATTTGTTCGAAAAGGCTTTGTTTCAGTTATCGATAATGAACTAACTAATCGGACTGTGGTGTTAAACATGTTTAACGGCTATTTGCCTCCATTGTGGTGGTTGATGCAAGTTATCGGCAAAAATTGAATTAAATTATAAAATTATGTTTTTTTTTTAATAAACTGCTCTAGAAACCAAAATTTTGACAAAAAAATTAAAAAATTTCAGCTTTAAAATTGATCCATATAACGTTTTTTATATTTCTAGATGTTCTAAAGACTCAAAAAAGTGCATAAAGTCAAGTTTAAAAAATGACGAATTTTCTGAGTTTTCTCAAAAAAATTTGTAGTAAAATCGTAAAAATTGTCAATTTAGTAAAAGTCGTAAAAACGCTTGAAATATGGTTTTTTAGACGTAAAATTACGCGCTAAACACGATGCAACAAGTTAAAATACTCTACGATGCATAGTTTTTGAGATATTGAGTAATAAAGTCAAAAATAAGGGTAGAAATATCCGATTTTAACAAAAAAATCAAAAATTTTTAATTCTTATGAAAAACTAGTACTATATGTAAAATTAACCGGAGAAAACCTATGTAAAATGTTCCGGGGAATCGATTGGCGTCAAAAAAACTGCAAAATTCCTAATAGTTTTGAAGTTATGGTCGGATTTAAATTTTCCATATTTTTGACTTTATCACAAATTTTCTCGATAACTATTTATCCTAGAACACTGATCTTTTTTTTATATGATAGAAAATTAAATTTGCTTTCCAACGGTACTAAACATAAGAGGTTATTACCAATAAGTCCGGAGTTATTGGCAATAGACCGCTCCGGGTGCCAAAAATCGACCAAAATTTCGACGAAAATCAAAAATCAAAAAAATTTTTAACCTTAAAATTCATCCATATAACGTTTTTTACATTTCTAGAGGTCTCAAACACTCAAAAAAATGCATAAAACGTTATTGGGTCAAGTATAAAAAATGACGAATTTTTTGAGTTTTCTCAAAAAAATTAGTAGTAAAATCGTAAAAATAGTCAATTTACTAAAAATCGTAAAAACGGTTGAAATATGGTTTTCTAGACGTAAAATTACGCGCTGAACACGATGCAACTATTTAAAATACTCTACGATGCATAGTTTTCGAGATATTGAGTAAGAAAGTCAAAAATAAAGGTAGAAATATCCGATTTTAACAAAAAAATCAAAAATTTTGAATTCTTATGAAAAACTAGTACTATATGTAAAATTAACCGGAGAACACGCGTGTACAAACCCTGTTGACCTAAGACTCATAGTTTTTGAGATATGAATTTTTTTTGAAAAAAACTAAAAATGGCTCTGTACCCGGARCCATAACCCGGAGCGACTTCCGGTTTGGGCCAATAAATAGATAATTTCAAGCTACTTTTAATGGTTTTCAGCTTATTGCTCTAAATCTTATAGTTTCGTAGAAAAACGCGTTTAAAGTTTCACAATTTTGACAATTTT